ATGTGTTTGTATACTGTTCAGATTTTGCTCATAATCCAAGGCATGTACTAGTAATTTAGGGGGGGTGGGAGGGTGCTGTTTAGGGACGTTGATGTGTGTTTACAACAACTCCCCTTTCCAAGATCGACGAACAGCAGTAGTAGCCCCCTGAGAGCCGGACACCATTGCAAAACCAAGATACTTGCCGTTACCGCTTTCAACCACGCCGTACTGAATCATCGGCTCTCCTTCTTCCTCTTCGTTTTCATTCCCGTCCTTGGAGTTCTTCCTTTGGCCGCGTTGGCGGAAATGCTTGGCCAGTTCGTCAGCTGTAGCGTTGCCGCTGCAATCGGCGAAGACACTGGCCAAATGTTGTCCTTGTTCCTGATCGATATCACTACCACTGACGCTGTTACAACTCATTTGTGTCATTTCGGTTGCTGTCTCATCCTGGATGGCCATATCATCGCCGGCTAATGCGTCGTCATTATTCATTAGTCGTTGGTTCTCTCCTGATGATCTGGATGTGCGCCTCTCTTGTTGTTGAAGTGCGTTGGCAAGTTCGAGAGAACTGATGGAGAAATCTCTTCCCAGCTTCCACCAGCCCCAGAAAAGGAACAGAATCGCCACTGGTCCGACAAGGCTGACTATGACTGCGAGAACCAGGGCTGGACGATCAGCGGCATACTGTACTTGGGTGGAGTGGAGTGTGTATGGAACGCCTCTTTGCATAAGATCGGGTAGTTGTTGTACGCTGCTACTTTCGCCTGCGAGATAGTCGTTTGAAAGGCCGGCAGCGGCACGGACAGACATGCGAAAGGCTATTTCGCGGTAAGTGTCGATGATATAATCCATGGGATCGTTGAAGTAGTGATAGCACGGCGAGCCGAATTCAACGGTGGTCCCATTTGCAGCACTCAGGCTGGCAACAAGACCTTCGTAGTTCGCCGAATAACTGTGATCATAGGAATCCTGCATCCAAGAGGTGGAGTTGAAGAGTGAAGCTCCCAATTGCCAAAGCGGAAACACGGTGTTTACCGCCGTTGGATAGTCTAGGTCCTGCAGATACGCATAACTTGGAGATGTTAGTTTAGTTCGACAAAGAAGTATGGGGTAAGGCTCAAATCTAGCATTTTGACAACTTACATAGGCTTTACGCATTTGTCATCTTTCCAGCTCTTGGACTGCAAAGTCGCAATGTCTCCCTGGAGACTTACACTGTACATTACTGCTCCAGGGTTAAGATTGCATGTATGATTTAGGAAGATACCGGTGCATTCGGTATCAGTTTTGCGTCTTGTGGTGATTTGGATCATTGACCTGTTTGAAGAGATGGCACCGGGGTGATGAATAAGATCATCGTCCATAATTGGCCTTACGGAGGTCTCAAATATGATGTTTTTCCGATATTCATCATGCTCTCTCTGGGGTTCGATCGTCTGCCAACCAAGGTCACATGTATCAGAGCTGTTTTTTAGTTCTGTACAATTAACAACATCGAAGCCGAATGCCTGAGCCAAACTCAGTTAGTCGATTCCAGTGAAACCGCAGCTAAAGATGACGCTAGGTGATTGGAGCATTGGGCCTAGGACATATCTCACCTTGATAGATAAGGTACAGTTCTCACAATTTACCCCTCTCATTCGGATGGGCGCTTTGTTTAGAAAATCGCGGACCACATCTGAGAATCCGGGAGCGAATTGCCCAATGGGCCGCGTATAATCCACATCTAAACTGCCAAACTTTCTTCCCCAAAGGCTGCTGATATTCAAAGTGACCGGAAGATCAATGGTACTGTTCTGCCATACATCGATCACTCATACATAAGAGGCTCGTTGCATCAGAGGACCGCGAAGGAGGGACGTGACTGTGACGAGGATAGATACTGTTAAAACGTCAGCTAGATACCATAGTTATCTCTGATGTGGTAATGACCGGGGCAGAGGAGTAATGGAATTCTAACCTAAACTGACGCGAATCGCCTTTCCCTGGAAGATGGACTTGACTGCGCCCATGGTGCTTGAAGATCCAGCCCAGTTATGGTAGGCTGCTGATCTGTATGTTATGTCAGTTGATATCATACTCACTGACAGCCGAGAAATGCCGGAACTCAACTGGTAACGGCGTTGTTGCTTGGACCCAGAAGAATATCACGGCCGCTTGGGCAAAGGCAAGCCCCATCAACGCGTTTGCAAGAGTCGATGTGTAGGCCAACAAAACACCGGGTTGTCTGAGCCCGGACCAGTTCTTTTCCGAACCTCCATCACTCTCGAGAACGACTCCTATAGCAATTCCTGTACCTAGTTCTTGCAGTTAGCATTGTCGGCACTTGGTCACAGCCTCAGTGTTATGGTAAACGTAGGAAAGAGTACACTCACAGCTTATACAAAAGACCAGTGGAATTATTCCAAACCAGGGAAAACGTCTGAAGCCGCCTGGTTTCCAAGAGATCTTGCCGGCGAAGTCATTTGATGAGTGTTTGATATGAGAGGACATTGGGTTTTGGATCAGCGACTCCATGGGCTGTCATATCAAGTTCTCCTGTGATCGACGAGCAAGAAGGTCTGGACCGAATATGTGAGTGGTAGTAAAGAGCGAAGAAACGAGCTAGATGCCCATACTTATGAAATTTAATATAGTCAACAGGAGGGTCTTGAAATTGCACATTGGTGGTTCGAGTGGGCGGCGCTGGAGTAGCTTTCCTTCAGTCGCCATGAGTGCTTTGAGACAGTGTATGCAAATTGGAAGCACCTTGTGTACAGACGTTCAAGTTGTGCGAACTCGGATCCCGCTGTATACTCAATCAGGGACGTGGTACTGAATAAATATACCTAGGTAGACGGCCGGCAAGGAGCTAAACCCAGCCTAAATTCATTGCAGAATAAAAAGGCATAGGCTCAGTCATCGTGTGCCGTTGTACAACATGTTTATTGTGAACAGGAAAACCTGTGTTGCGAAAGTCTCGGTGAGGGAGTATATTCGCCTCGCATGGTGCCGCCTTTGCGGTTAACCTGACCGTGAAGGTTGAATGGTGCGAGGCATAAATGCTGTAGTTGCCGCACCTGCACAGAAAGAATTTAAATAGGAGGTTGAAGTTGGACATTGTTGGCTAGGCTGATCGCAGGCATTGCCATAGATGAATACTTAATGCATTTCCCTTGGTGATGCTGCAACACGAAGAACAGATGAGGATCTGGAAAAAGTCGTCCCACTTCACGCATCAATAAGCCAAGCCATCTCATTTTACCGACGGCAGGAGCATTGACATATCGTCGTGGTTGCCTTCCATGACCACCATGGCTCTGCTGACTGGTGCCAAATGGTCAGAAGACGGGAAAGGAAGGAGATGCATGATAGGAGGAAGTAAACAAAGTGGAATTAAACCGCCAAGCACTGGCGGAGTCGTAGACTGTTTACTTGGCACTGTGCCTTTAACTGCCTCTTGTCAAATGCCAAGAGCGCCTGGACCAGTGGCAGGCTTTAGTGCCCTGGAGTTCGACTTCCACATCGACTTGCAGCCTGCCGGTGTTTTTGCCGCTAACTCAAATGTTTGGAGCTACCTCTACGGCCACCACGGTCACGATCCTAGCCACCGCGTCTCTACCATACATCACGAATACAGAAAACCGCCACCATGTCTAGACGGGATTTTCTCAGTCAACCCGCACCCGAGAACTACGTCGCCGGTCTCGGTCGTGGTGCCACGGGTTTCACTACACGATCCGATCTTGGTCCCGCGCGCGAGGGTCCTAGTGAAGACCAGATCAAGGCGGCCGTCGCGAAGAGATCTGCACAGCTAGGTCTGACCGAGGCCAAGGACGACGACAATGAAGACGATGGCCGGTATCAGGATCCCGACAACGAGGTCGGCTTGTTTGCCGGCGGCATCTACGAAAAGGACGACGAGGAGGCAGATCGGATATGGAAAGAGGTAGACGACAGGATGGCGAAGCGGCGGCAGAAGCAAAGGTTAGTTATTATCTCGTATACATCACTTGACATTCTACATAAATTCACAAACCACCCATTTACCCCTTCCCCAACACTTTCAAGCAAGCATGTGGTTTATCGGTAAAGATAGATGAAAAGCAGTGTACCGACAAGAAATCGCATTTTCACAGGGAAGCACGAGAAGAAGCCGAACGATTAGAGTACGAACGAAAGAATCCCAAAATCCAACAGCAATTCGCCGGCCTTAAACGAGCGCTCGAGACGGTTACCGACGAAGAATGGGCAAACCTACCAGATCCCAAGGACCTTACCGGCAGGACCAAGAGGGCGCGCCAGGCTCGCATGGAGCGCTTCTACGCTGTTCCCGACAGTGTCCTCGCTGCCGCGCGAGATTCCGGCCAGTTCGGTACCACCGTTGCAGAAGACGGGACCGCCACCGAAGGGGTCAACAAGGATGGCACAGTTACAGATTTCGCAAAGATCGGTGCGGCTCGCGACAAGGTGTTGAGGGCGCGCTTGGAACAGCAATCACAGTCGAGTAGCGTGGCAACGGCGGGAAGCGCGACGAGTATCGACCCCAAGGGCTACCTGACATCCCTGTCGAGCATGCAGGGTGCGGAACAAAGCATTGGAGACATCGAGCAGTTCAGAAAGATGCTCAAGTCGGCTGTCGACTCGAACCCCAAACAGGCAGCCAGTTGGATTGCTGCAGCGAGATTGGAAATTGCGGCTGGAAAGCCTGGTGCTGCCCGCAGCTTGATTGCCAAGGGCTGCGAACACTGCCCGAAGAGCGAGGATATTTGGCTGGAAAACATTCATTTGAACGACAACCGGAACGCCAAGGTCATTGCGGCACAGGCTATTCAAGCCAACCCACACTCGGTCAAGCTTTGGGTGGAAGCGATGAAGCTGGAAAACGACCCCAGATCAAAGAAGAAGGTTATCCGGAGAGCTCTCGATCATAACCAAGAGTCCGAGGCGCTATGGAAGGAGGCTGTCAACCTCGAGGAGGACGTCGAAGACGCCCGCATTCTACTAGCCAAGGCGACGGAGCTTATCCCGGAGTCGCTCGACCTCTGGTTGGCACTGGCCCGTCTCGAGACTCCCGAAAATGCCCGCAAGGTTCTCAACAAGGCCGTCAAGAAGCTTCCCAACTCTCACGAACTCTGGATCGCCGCCGCTCGCCTGGAAGAACAACTAGGCGAAGGCAAGAAGCGGCCCGTGATGAAGAACGCCGTCAAGTTCCTCGCCAAGCAGAATGCCATGCCCAAGCGCGAGGAATGGATCGCCGAAGCCGAAAAGTGCGAAGAAGAAGGCGCCGTCATCACTTGCAGCAACATCATCGAAGAAACGCTCGGCTGGGGTCTCGACGAGGACGATGACCGCAAGGAGCTCTGGATGGAAGACGCGCGCGCCTCCATCAACCGGGACAAGTTTGCCACAGCGCGCGCCATCTACGCCTACGCCATCCGCGTCTTCCCCAACAGCAAATCGCTCTACACGGCCGCCATCGACCTGGAGCGCAACCACGGCAGCAAGGAAGACCTCTGGCACGCGCTCGAAAAGGCCGTCGAGGCCTGCCCGCACTACGAAGTCTTCTGGCTCATGCTCGCGCGCGAGAAAGCCGCCGAGGCAGGCGTCGACGAGGCACGCCTCGTCCTTGCCCGCGCCTTCAAGCAGAACCCGGACAGCGAGGACATCTGGCTGGCGGCCGTCAAGCTCGAAGCCGACAACGGCTTCATCGACAAAGCCCGCGAACTCCTCAAGACCGCGCGCCAGAATGCGCCTACGGATCGCGTATGGATGCGCTCCGTGGCGTTTGAGCGTCAACAAGGCGACAACGAGGCCGCTTTGGATCTCGTCCAACAGGCCCTACAGCTCTTCCCTTCCAAGCCCAAACTCTGGATGATGAAGGGTCAAATCTACGAAGACCTCGGCCAACTTGGTCCTGCGCGGGAAGCCTACAGCACCGGTGTGCGCGCCGTCCCTTCGTCCATCCCGCTCTGGCTTCTGTATTCCCGTCTAGAAGAAAAGGCCGGCAACGTCGTTAAGGCGCGCTCGGTCCTCGACCGCGCCCGACAAGCCGTGCCCAAGTCCCCGGAGCTCTGGACGGAACTCATCCGCGTTGAGCGGCGCGCGGGTAACTTGAACCAGGCCAAGTCACTCATGGCGCAAGCGTTACAGCAGATGCCCAAATCGGGCTTGCTGTGGGCGGAAAGGATCCTCAACCTGGAGCCGCGCACGCAGCGGAAATCGCTGCTTGCCGAGGCGGTGAAAAAGGTGGAAGACGATCCGATCCTGCTGGTCACGGCCGCGAGGATTCTGTGGGCGGAAAGGAAATTGGATCGGGCGCAGAACTGGTTCGAGAAGGCGCTGTTGCTGGATCGCGATGTGGGCGATACGTGGGCGTGGTATTACAAGTTTTTGGTGCAGCATGGGACGGAGGAGAAGAGGGCGGATTTGGTGGCCAAGTGCGTCTTGGTTGATCCTAGGCATGGAGAGGAGTGGACGAGGGTGGCCAAGGATCCGAAGAATGCGGGAAAGAAGACGGAGGAGGTGTTGAAGTTGGTGGCAGAGACGTTGTTTTAAGGGGGGTGGTTGTTTACTATGTAGACTATTTGTGATGCTAATGTGGTGTGGAGGGATGATCAGCGCTGGGTTGGGTAAAAAAAAAAAAGAACATACTCAATAGAACAGCGCAAATTTCAATTGATTCAAATCACGATCGGTGCTGTTACGTTTCTTTATTTTGATGGTTCGCAATTATTCGAATTAACTTGTTCCATAAAGCCTTTCAAATGTCCTAACAAGTCCTAGAACTCCCGAATCATCCATGGATGATGCATTAGCTTTGGCGTGCGTAGCGTAGCAACCCCCCCCC